CATGAAGAAAGAAAAATTCTTATTAAGGTTAGCACTAATAACATACTCCATTTCCCACCTAATCTACTAGAAAACCATTCACAAGACTAGTGCCAAAACATCAATAGTCATCCAAATCATCTACATGACTGTACTCCCACAGGCTTTCTCACTTTCTTCATTTCCCTGGTTTTTCTGATACTTCCTGAAGATATCAAAGCCTTTTTGAGTCTATAAAGCTAATAATAGGATGGCTAGGACTGATGGATCTTTATTCTGCCAGTCTGGCAATCTGAGCACTAATTTCAGATCTCTCCTCAAGAAATAAAGTACTGCATCCTAAGCCCTCTAGTCCAATCCAGGTGAAAGAAAATATTTTTTCCTATTCTGCAAACTGGAGTAAGCTGTAAATTGCTGAGAAGATCTTATATAGAGACAGGTTTTATCTCCCTTAAATTTAGTTTTGTTCATAATCTAGGTGTGTCTTTTTAGTCCGTGGAAAAGGCTAGGGACCTAATGAGTACATCTTCTGTTTTAGTTATGTTTTAGGATGAGCTGAAGCATTCTCTGGAGTTATTTGTCCTTTCCTCTGTTGGCTGCAAAGGAAGCTAGATGATTTCATAGGATACACCCCTAATATCTACCTGGATATAGTTAGGTAAGATGGCATTTTCTCTTCTTCTGCATACTTTGATGTACATAAGACTGGAAAACAGCAGTTTATGAAAGAACAGACACAGGAATGCATGCTGGTAATATATGAGGAAAGGGAAAGAATTGAAAAAAAATGAAAAGTGGAATGACAGAATAAGATTATACAGTAAGAAAAGGGAGGCAGACAGGATAAAAAACCAAGATAATGGAAAACCTCAGCTGTAGCAAACAAGGAAAAAAGTGACAGCTGATGGAAGTGCTACTGGGAGAATCCTACATGTCACTGTCAGGGCCTGGCCTGTACTGTCCCCACAGGCTCAAGTTTATCTCCCTGTTCTATCCTGGTGCTTTGATAAAAGAAATCTGTTCTTGAGAAACTTTATCAGGCCTTGTAATTCTTTGAGGAAAGGCAAGAAGGAGCCTTAGTGCACGTGCCCACTTCTTCGCTTGGCCATTAGCAGCTCTCCTGTGTGGTCTCCATCTGAGCTCTGCTGCAATGGCAGCCATGCCTTTGTCTGGAATGGCATCCTATCCATCTGGATCCTGACCATCACCTACATTCTGATTCTGCAGGTTTGCTCTTGGACCTGCCTCCTCACAAGGGACTCACTTGGCAATCTACACTCTTGGTTGACCCTAGGCACTGTCACCAGGGCTGCCTTACAGCCCTCGTGCCCATACTGGGGGCCTTGCTCCTTAAGTCATTGCTTCTTGCCTGCCTTCTCATGACTCTCAGGTCCCAGATTGTCATCTCTCTTCTGCCTTTGCTGCTCCCTTACATGCAGCACACATGGTATCTGTGTTCTTTGACACAAAACTAGGAAACATAGATCTTGACAAAAATCACAAGAAATGGAGCAAAATCTTACAGGAATGAATTATGTCACAGTATATGTCCCTTCACCTAAGGAAACATTAAGGAAATCAATGAGTCTGCTGTTAATCATCTGGACTAATATACTGTGTACAACTTCTGTACAAAAACATTAACAGAAAACAAAAATAAGTGATAAAAAACCAGACCTCATAATTTTATAATCTTTCAAACGTGCATTTTATTCAATCTTGAATAAAAGCCTCTGAAAGGCTTACTCAGCTCCTGGAGATTACTAACAAGAGCTGAGTGCCTAATGCTTTTCTCCTTTAAAATCCTATTCTTCTAACTTCTTCAGGCAGGATACAGAATAACTGAATGAAGAGCAAGTGACATACAAGTGACATTAGAAGATACAGAACATGATCATACTGGCAAAGTACAGTGTACAAACTATAGAGGAGGAAATCCAAATTCCTTTCATAACTGTAGCAAAACACTTGTTTTACTCCTAGAGTAAGACAGTAAGTGTCACAACAGTATGGCAGGGAAGCGAGGGAAAGAAAATTAGCTTAGCTGATAAAAGAAATAGAAAACCTATTCTTTGGCATGCAAGCCTTCATCTCTCACCATTTAGGAAAGAGTAAATGATTTACATTCACAGTTCTTCTGACTTCTCTGTTGCAATAAACTTCTAGTTTTCCACATGGAAAATCTGGCCTATTCCTACCATGAAATAATAAGAATTTTCCAATTATTTGGTTTAATGTTACCAGAACACATCAGTGTCTCTCTTTTGAGTAACAAATGGCATGATTGTGGAGATACTAACAAGAAACTGGTATTTCAAGCTGTCGGTGCAATTTCTTATGAATTTTTGGTTTACAGTCAGCCTATTTTTTTATTTTGAAATGCAAAATGCATCAAATAATGGATTTTTAAAAATTTCTAAGAGAAACAGCACTGCCCACCTCAAATCTCCATTGTGAAACAACTAGAGAAGTACCTGGCTGAGAGCAGCATGCCCAAAATAATAACATAGCACAAAAGATGTGACAGGGGAGTGGAAATTGGTTGCGGACCTCTATGTAGAAACTGGATTATGGTCTGTGTTATGTGAACCATAAGCATAAAAATTGTTCTTCAAACACTTCAATTTCCATAATAAATGCCTTTCTAATTTTGCCTCTGCAACTGGGGTAGGATTTGAAAGAAATTGTGGACCTACATAAAGAGAGAAAAAAGAAGAGGGCAGGCATATTTAGCTCTCCTTTATGTGTTTTTCATGACAACAGCTTAAACAATTCTAGACAGACTAATATGTGCTATCTCAGTACTCTTACATAAACACTGACCAAGGCAAAATCCCTGTCAGACTCTTGATCTAGAATGAACCTCACTTTATGCCACAATGGATTAAGTGGTTCATAGGCACTAAAATACACACCCCTCCCTAAGCCAGTGATTCTTGGCCAAGGCAGAAGTGTAGCTTTAACTAGATGGACCCAGAGGTGGCATAACAATACTTTCAGGGCACAGGATGCGGGAACCTTACATAGATTACAGGAAGCAGCACTTTCTTGTGGTATGTTTTGAGACATTGCTCCAGTATAGTTGCAGTTCTTTCATGTCAGATGCTCAAATTTAAATGGCTTCACTAGAGCTAAGTGAGAACAAATGATTGCAAAATCCTTGAAAGATTAATTCTAATTGTTGTACATTATAAAAACTCGTAACTTTAAACTAATATATTTTATTTATAATCTGATTCAAATGCAAGCATGACTTAGGATAGCCGAATCATGACAAGTACTGTTATCACTAAAGCAAGAACTGTTTGATATAACTAAATCAGCCAAAGAATTTGATTTGCTTCCCTCATTATGTTTGTGAGCTGTTCCTGAGTTCTGAAAAGAGGTTGAAGTTAATCTGTCTGCTTCTTCCTCACCTTGAATTTTCACAATGTTTCATGCTATTACAGAAAAAGAAGCAACTGACTTTCATGAAAATAAATTAAAATAAAGGGATCAAAGGAGGAGAGAACTGAAGTTTTTTTTAATACTATTTATGAGATAATTTAGAAGTATTATTTTTCAGCTAGTAGATTATTCATGAATTACTGACTTTGGCTGTTACCCAAATCATGTTTATCACATCACTCACATGGATGGCATATTTTCAGACTAATGCCCCAATATCACAAAAACCTTCATTTTCTTAAATTTATCTTTTGTCAGAAAATTATTTAAGCACATAAATTGAGCTCATTAAATGCCATTTGAGAAACATTTTAGCCTGTGTTTGAAATAGAGTACCTGCTCTCATGAAATGTGAAACAGAAAGGTTGCTGAATTATATTCTGGAGTACTAAAATTGTAAAACAAAACCATAGACAACAATTAAAATTATGATAATGGTTTTATCTTCATCACACAGAAATTTGGGAACAGATATACAAAACAAACATTTCTGCAAATTCTTCAACTATAAAAATGCAGACAAGATAAAGATAAGTGACCATTTGTATTACAGCCACAGTCACACTGAACAGATCTCAATGTAAGAACACATACACATTTCAGTGTTTGTATTATTTAGTAACATAGAACACTACACTTATCTCTGTTGCCCTTGAATGTTTTGTACTTTATAGCAACCTTGAGCTAACAGTTCGAGTCAGTGCAATTTTTCTGTAAACATGCAATTAAGACTTTGCTAGCTATTTATATAAGACATCAAAGCAGAAAAAGGACACCATGCTACAGGGGAAGCAATTAGGCTCACCATGTCATTCTCACATTCCAAAAACTATGCCTTGCTTATCCACAACTATTTGTGGGGGGGAAACTGCACGTTTCTGTGTAAGTACTTATTTATAATACCTTGCTGAAAAAATGGAGATAGAATAAAGGATGCCATTATTTATTATTATTATTGTTATTGTTATTGTTATTATTGTTGTTGTTGTTTTGGTGTTGGTGGTGTTGGTATCATTATTACTACTACTAATAGTTTTATTATTGCTATTATTACTTGTTGGTCGGTGCTTCAAACAGTTCTCAGAACGTCCATAAGGGTGACCAGCAGGAAGGGCAAGAACCCTTGAATCATCGCACCATATCCCAAATCATTAATCCTGAGACCTATCTGGATACAAACTGTTAAAACCTCAACTGCCCCAGTCCCCCAAGGCAATAAGCAGTGTAGCTATGAAAGGGGAAGGAAAAGAGAGGTGTGCAGTGAAGGTCCCTCAGCAGGCTGCAAGACAGAACCCATTTCCTTACCTGTGGAAGAGTGCTCATGCTTGTCACCGAGCAGGCTTTGCTCCTGCAGCTACCACAGCTGTGAACTCTGTTTACTTGGCTGCTATCAGTCTTCTGTGCCCACACACTCTTCTAAGTTCAGAGACAATCTCATCTTCCCAGCTTGACTGTTTGCTGTGGGGAGGAGAAGTGAGAGGAAAAGCTCAGAGACAAACACTCTTAAAGAAAATGGGAGGGAGGGAAATGGTGTTTCTGCAACTCTCCACCCACCTTCTTAACACCTCTACTTCTCATAAAAGGATCTTTTTTTTCCCTTCTGTCTGAGACCCACCTGCCTTTCTGTCTCTTGGAGCTCCACCGAAATCTTTTTGAACAGAAGTATGTGATTCTCTATCTCCCTCAGCCTCTTCTCAGCTATTTGCTGTTTCTTTTCTCTCCAGCAGCCTCACTATCCTGCCCACCCAACAAGCCTGTTTTGGTCTGATATTCTCCCTGCCACTGGCCTGTTTCAACCTGCTGCTGCCTTGGGGCCCGGAGGCTTCTGCCTATTGCTAGATAGTGTGGGCTACGCATCCTAGCGCTCCTCCTCCCACGAGGAAAGGCCAGGGTGCTGACTTGCTTCTTGCTCTCTCTCTCATCTGCATCCTAGTGTCCATTCAAGGGGTGAACACATCTGACTCTCTCTTTCCCACTAAGAGGCTTAGAAAAAACATAAAATAATTAATTACTGACTCTATTTGCATTTGTTCATTGCTTCTCAGGAGATGGCTAGCCTGTGTGTCCTTGCTTATTTAAGGAGGCATAATGGGAAGATTTGGGAGGGAGGTTTCTCTGCTTTGAGGACTGGAAACCTGGATTACTTCTCTGAGACATTAAAAACTGAGTAGGAGAGGGAGGCACTGGGATTTGAGACCTTCTCAAGTGGCAGCTGTGAGCTGAGAGAGGTAGAGGGGACCAGCTTGGTGTCGGCTTCCAAAGTGCTTGAAACAAGCAGAATACCAGGTCGGGACTGTTTGCATCCCCAGGCTGCAAGTCTCTGAGGGGAATATGATATCTTGGTTCACTAGTCTGAAGATAATTTGGGATCTTCTCAGTTGTTCAGAGCTCCTATCAACCTGATTTTTCCCTCTTTCTGTAGTGCTTGCATAATTTAACACTCTACTATCACAACAGATTTCTTATATGGCTGAAACCAGTTACTTATTCCCAGTTGTTTTTAGCATTCAAGTAACTGGTAGCTATATATTTCTATATTTACCAAACAGCTCTAAATACAGTTTAAAATGTCCTTGCATACTGACAAAAAGGTCCCTACTGACCTTTCTTTCCTTTCTTTCCTTTCAGCGTGTCACTTCCCATCACCTTAACATCAGAATCCATTTTGCAAATACTTCTCGCAAAAATTGATTGAGATTGGACTTAATGAAAGTAACAAAACATTCTTTTGTTTCCCACAATTGAGATGTTACCGTGAAGATATCTTTGTAAACTATCTGGACAAATTTGTTCATGACAATATCCAGTTTATTTATCTGGCCTAACTGCATCTGAACTCTTCCACCTTCACCATTAGACCATCTAACAGCTCCCAAGCTTTATGTAACAAAGTAAATTTTACTTCTCTTTTCTCTATGAACAAAATCAAAGATTTAAAATTTACCTGGGCAAGGTATTTATTGCCTTTTTTGATTATAAAATGGTTATGATAATTTTGAACACAATGTAATTAAAATTAAAGTAAGTAATAAAACCTTGGCTGAAGTATTCACTTAAAATTACACCTGAGGAGACAAAAAAAACCTTAGGTGAGTATACTGGGAGGATATAATTTACATTAATGTGGTTTCATATACCAATATCTTTTAAACAGGCTCTCTCATCTCCTCTTGATTAAATGAAATGTTACCACATAATTTGGCAAAACATTACATTGATATTGCCACAAGACATGGATTGTCCCACACATGCTAGCTAGAAATTATTTGAATGTGTATGTAGAGATGATTTTTACCAGACCTTGTAAACTCATCAGGACACATCCTGAAAAGTAGATTGATCACAACTTCATTTCAAGAGTGCATGGGATGTTTCAGGAAAGGAAACCTGAGAAACACCTCTCATTTTCAATGAAGAGCACAGCTCTTTGAGTTAGGACATGTTTCAATGTGCTGTGATGCTGAGAAAGCTGCCTTGCAAGATCTAGTGTGGTGGTGACTATTTCTTTTCCAAAGGCATTACATACAATAGTAACATTATATGTTGGATCTAATAAACATTATTGTTGGATTCTGTAATTCAGTAGGAAAGTTGAGCTGTTATGGAGAAAATTAAGTTGTTAAAACTTTTATTTATTCCAAAATTTGTGTATCTCTTTGGAAATAGTGTGGATTTATTTAACATAGATGCTGCCTCTGTGACTGTGGTCTGAGATACCCAGGTATAGGGCATATTTTATCTGAATTTATATGATCCACACTTCAGAAAAATCTGTTCAGCTGTGGTTATTTGATGCTGCAAAGTAATTCAGACACTGTAGTTATGTGTGTTTTCAAACAGAGTTTCTTGCATCAGTCAGTGTAAGGACAGAGCATATTTGCATCTGGTAGCAATACGGCAGCAAAGCATATCTTACATTTTCCACATCACCAATTGGATATGGAAGTTTCTTTCAGATTATATGCCACAGGACAATGGCACTTTCTGTCTAGAAGTGGCAGTCTGTATATATATTTAAGACTTAAAAAGCTCTGCCTTGGAGGGGATTGCATGATGGCATTGTAAACACTCTTATGGGGTTTTGAATACACAACCTGTAGAGCTGTGGGCATCTTGAGAGCTGAATCCATGAAGTATTCATGTATACATGAAAATGGTGCTGTTGTTTTTCCTGCTGGCATGTAGGTTTCTTTGAAGACACTTTTATCACCAATAGAAAGCAAAGACAAAAAGTTTCCCTGTAATTTTTTCTAATTACAGAAGCAGGAAGAGGGGCTTGCAGGAGGGAGGGAGGGCAGGGAGGGAGAAGACGTCACAAGTAATCCTTATCAACTCATTCCCTTCTTATCTTTAAGGCACATATGACAGCTCTGCTCCCTTGAGTCCACAAATTAGTAAGAGAACCTCTGGCTTTTTTCTCTGTGACAGATACTTGCTCTTCTCTAAATGGCACATTAGGTTTTTCCAAATCTAACACTGATCAGCACATTGAAAAAAATATAATATTTGACATGCCTTCCAGCTGTTACACATAAAAACATTTAACAGCAATTATCTTTTAGATACATCTTAGAATTAAATAGACACATGATTCAAAGAAATATGAATGTATTAAGTGTGTTGACATGCATTTGACAGATGTTGTTGCAAGTATTTCTTAAAGTAATTTTAAAAGGTTGGTATTTCAAACGGCTTGGAATCAAAAGCAGATTTCAGCAAATTATTTTCCTAATATCTGTCCTGAAGTGAAATTTAATTTGGACTTTGATCTTCTACATCGTGTGAATAGTAAATTCCACTGCAACAATTTGGTAGAGTGAAATTTTGCTTCACAGATTGATATTCCATCTTCAAGCTTCCAAAATACAGATGTATCGCAGACTGCGTGAAAGATTGCTCCTTGAAAAAGATCACTAGAAAAGCATGGTGAGGCAATGTTAATGTCACTGGCATCTTGAGAACTTCTGTGAAAAGGCTATCACTTACAAAGAGACTGCACTTAGGTTTTAGAAAAAGCTTGTTTAACTCAAGCTCTTCTATCTCAAATGGTCCCTGATGGAACTACCACAGAGCAGTGTGACTTCTGGATTAAATCAACATGAAAGAAAGTCTCCTTTACATGAAAGACTATCTGCTAAAGGTTAGTAATAATTTTGGTAACCATCAAAAGCACAAATGTGGGCTGCAAACATCACAACACTGTAGCACTTGTTCCTTCACTAAAGAAGTTCAGAAAACTGGAGGCAGTTCAGCCTGAGAGCCATAATATTCCATTGTAGATTGGAGAACTGATTACAGGATAAATTCAATGTAAACAGCCCGTAACAGGAGATGTCAGTCAGGGATCTAGCAGAGTGTTCTAACTGCTCCACAGGTGAAGAGAGCTATACTTCTGGGGCAAAAGTGCTCTCAGACACTCAGTCACATATGCAGATGGCAACTTTTCACCCTTTTATCCACCAAAAACTTGCTCTCTCATCTAGCATCAGTCCATCAGTACACAAACTCAAAGACTCACAGAATGCCTTGGTTGGAATGGACCTTTTGAAAATCATCCAGTTCAACCATCCCACCATGGTGAGGTTGTTTAATCTCTGTCCAGGTTTTGAACACTTCTAGTGAGTAGGCATCCACCACTTCCCTGGGCAACCTGTTCTTCCAGCTTTCTGGGACATCTTTATTCATGAGAAAAAGGGCAGAAAAGTCATTGATGCTTCTAACCACAACCACCACTTTAGGTTCAGAGGAGACAGGAAGAAGAGGAGAGATCAAAGTTTGTAAACACAGATTAGCTCAATGTGTGGCAATTCAGTTACCTGGATGTATTTGTTAAAGACAATGGGGAAAAATTGAGGAATATCCTGACCTCTGTGAGTCCTTCAAATTGAAGATTTATCACTCCATCCATAAGGAAGACTATAATCAAACCTGGGATCCAAGTGGATAGAATGGATACAAGATATTTGGACTGGGAGGTAGACAGGAAGGGTATCCTTGATGACAGGAAAAAGGGGTTGGTTTCAGGTGTAGAAAAGGAAAGTCTGAGAATGAGGGCTAGGAGGGTAGAGAAGATCAGGCAAGAAAGACAGAAGAAGTAGTGAAAATAAGAATGGTAGAAAGCACAAAAGTAAAAATTAAAAAACAATTTATTTTTCCCTGTCCTACATGAATGTACATGAGTTTCCCTGGTCATAACCCTAACCTACATGAATGCCTTCTGTTATTGTCTGTGTTTCTTTAATATCTCGTTTGTTGCTTCATTGGGCACAACCTCTAAGAATAAATAGCAGAATATCACTTCAGGCTATTGTTAAAGAATTTGTAGGGGGTTTTGTAGTTACTGTACTAGTGAGAACTTGATGTCTTTTCTCAGCAACAGGGCAAAAACTGATATTAAAAAAAGATTTTTGTGGTTGTATATCTTTTTAAGCATTCAGACATTCACTGTGAAACTGTTCCAAAACACTTATGAGGCATAGTTTTCCATTCAGAAAAGCAAGTCCTAGCCTCTAAAGCATATATTTAACATCAAGGAGAGCAAAAAAGAATAAAAGAATAATCCCTGAATAACACACAGCCTTCTACTGAGGAGGCATGCTAAGACAAATGGAATATCTGAGTCCAGCAGACTGCCAGAGGGCTTCTCTTAAAATTGAGTATGTATCAACTCTGTTCTTGCTTCTTCACAGTACACCACCTTCCAAAATACATTGTAGAAAACCATTTTCCATAGCTCTTTAAAGTGCTTGCTGTCTGCTTTGTTTTTTAGAATTGCTTACAGGCTGATTTAAAGGGATATTTCCTTTAAAATTCTGTTCTGATTCTGCAAAATGACTGTAACAAAAATACCCTTTCATATGCAGCATAATCAATAGTGGTGAATTTCATAATATAAAATCTGTGTCCTGTGTGTTATTATATTAGCCCTCCAGATACAATTCAGATGAAAGACAACCTTGTTTGAGATAGGGAGTTGTACCTACTTATTGAAAACTCAGACTAATTGCTATGCTTGGTGACAGCTAAATAGAAAAAAGCCTTATAACCTAAATGATGTGTGCCATTGTGTGAGGTGAAAATAGCCTTGAATTTCAGAGATTATGGGTCTATCAATCAGGACTGTTTATGTTTCACAAGTAGATAATATTCTTCTGCTGCAGAACTACTTGAATCATGAATGTTTCAATGCAATAGCCACTTGACCACAACTCAGATTTATGTCTCAAAACATGTATTTTAACTGTAATGCTGCAACAAAAAACTGTATGGAAGCATAGCATGTGCAGCTGAATTTGAAACTATATGAACTTCATGGCCATTCAGAATAGTTTAGAAGATATCAGCAAGACATTGTTTTTAAGTCTTTTTTTTTGGATGTACATCCATAACATCTACCATTAGTTACATCTGTGGACCAGTGAAACGTTATCAGTAACAAAAATTCACTTCAGCCCCTAAATGTCCTGTTCCCATTTGTGGTTTAGATCCAACTTAGATACTAAGCCTCTTCATATACTTTGCAATATCACAAAGTGATGGTTGTGAAGTCAAAGGCTGACATATAAAAAATAATTAAAATTACCTCATCTCTCCTGAGCAGAACTCTTAAGTTCTTTCTCCTGTATTTCCACCACAATTTCATATTATGTTTCCCTATCCTTTTTATCCTCCTTAGTATCTGCAGTTATTGCACTGTGTTTCAGAAGTTAAGGCTTAAACTCAGGATTCTGGAGATTTCAAGTTCCATTTGTATCTCTGATTCTGTTGCAATGTGTGGTTTTGAGTCATCAGGTAAC